GGTTATAATTCAAGACTGTTGGTATTTATTTTCTTGTTCAAATTGTCCCAGCTGTGGCCAGTGGGAGTTCTTTTATGCTGGCTCCTATGTCCTTTGGCTTTTTTCTTTTTTAAAGCACTTTCTGGCATTGGAAGATGCTCCAAGATCAGTTTGCATTTTCTCTGACCCAACCCTAGAATCAGCCATTTCTCTGAGGAGCCCTGGTTCTAGAAACCTAGATCTGGCACTGTCTTTACTCATTGCTACTAGGATGTCACTGCTTTGGGGGGCAGACAGAGCTAGGAAATATGTGTGTGTGTCAGAACCCATGCATGCACACATATCTGTATTTATTTTTGTGTCTATTAAAAATAAACATGTCATGCTGATAACCCCAGTCTAGCACCACATCGCTTATTTGTAATTTGGTTACCAAATAGCATGAAATCTGGCTGTCAGTGTCTACAGCATGGGTACTATTTGTTCAAGGCTAGCATAGAAGTAGATCCAGAACTGTTAACCCCTGAGAAACAAATTTACTGACTGTCGTAGAGTCCACGGTTTCTGTACAATTCAGAGGAAACCCCTAAGCTAAGCCAACAAACCTGTGGTTGTGAGCTAGAGTTGGCCCTCTGGCCTCCACTCTGAGACCCTCAAGCCTGCTCTGGTTGTCAGTTCACACCCTGGTGCAGCCATGCTCACCGGCCTCAGGCCTCAGGACAGGTTGGTGGAGGGTGGAGAAGGCGGGTGGGGACCTCTGCTGCAGTCCCCTGATTCTCTCGATGGGTGGGGGTTGGAGAGGAGCATGAGAGGCATTTGGCCCTTTCAGAGGTGCAGACACGGCTCAGTGAGATGGGTGAAGACTGGGTGAGGTGTCCTCTCCAGGCAAGCGCCCTGGCAGCAGAACCTGCCAGGCGAGTGTGCCGGCCCAGGCATGCATTAGGCAAGTGGGCTGTGGCAGAATTTCAGAGGCCAGGGCTGCCTTTTCCTGAGAAGGGACCAGGCTGGGCTGGGGTGGGTGTGGTTTGGGTAGCTGGTGTTGCCTGGGGCCCTTGATGGGGCCTGGGCTGATCTCCTCCTAAGGCCTCTGTGAGGATACAGTGGTGAGCAATAGCTCCGGAGCTAACGTTGGGCTCTTACTGCACATCCCAGTTCTGCTCCCGTCGTCGCTTTCGTCCTCAACAACATGCAGAGCAGGTGCTGTTATCATCTCCATTTTACAGATGAGTCCACCAAGGCTCAGAGGGGCATCAATTCAGCTGAGTCTGGCTCCAGACTCCCAGCCTTTAATATTTACATGAGAGCTGGGCAGAGAGACACACAGGGTCCCTGCCTCCCTGGAGCTGGGGGTCTAGGGCACAGATGTACCAGAAGAATAAACAAATAACCAATGTAGCCCTAGCCGGTTTGGCTCAGTGGATAGAGCGTTGGCCTGTGGACTGAAGGGTCCCGGGTTCGATTCTGGTCAAAGGCACAAGCTCAGGTTGTGGGCTTGATCCCCAATAGGGGGCATGCAGGAGGCAGCCAATCAATGATTCTCTCATCATTGATGTTTCTCTCTCTCCCTCTCCCTTCCTCTCTGAAATCAATAAAAAAATATTTAAAAAAAAAACACAATGTAATTTCAGATGTGCTGTCATGTGAGATTGGGGAGGAGGGGCCAGCCTGGAGGGTGGAAGAAGGGTGCTTCTTCCCAAGTGCCAAGGTCTTGGAGTATGTGAGGAGCAGGGGGAGGCCAGTGGGGCTGGGAGTAAGGGGGGGTGGGGGGGGTGGAGAAGGAAGGAGGAGAGACTGTGCAGGGCCTGTGGGCCCTGAGGAGGACTTGGGTGTTTACTCAACGCGACATGGGGAGCCGGGGGAGAGTCTGGAGCAGGGAAGGGGTGTGATCTGAGTTTTAAGAGCTGTTGGCTGCGGGTATGGAACGGGGTGTAGGGTTGGAAGCACAGATCCTCCAGGAGGTTCCTGACATCTGGTCCAGGCTTGGGAGCCCCATTCCCTAGGGCCCCAGAGAAAGCAGCGCCCGGAGGAGGCAGGAGTGGGAGGTGCTGGGCCCCCACCCACCGACCGACCTACCGCAGCAGGAAGAGCCTCCCTCCACTGCTGAGCGAGCCATTGGAGGTGAGATCGCTGCCTGGGAGGTGTGAAGCAGCCACCCTCCCGCCAGGCTGCAGCTTCCCCTTGCAGAGGGTCACTTACAGAGCACCTGCTGCGTGCGGGGCTGGTTCTGTGCGTGCGGGTATTCTTCCAGGCTCCTTCCAGTCGGCTAGGTCGCCAGGCTGTAGGCACTCCCTGTGCACAGCGTGACCCCCACCCCCTACCGGCAGTGCCCGCTGTGCTGCCCGCGCTGTGACTGGTCAGAGCGGGCAGGAGCGCTCTGTCTCTCGGAGGAACAGCGGGGACAGGAGCCCGGGATTCTGCCAGGGGCTCCCTGGGGTCGCGCCCTGGCCTGCGTGTCCCTCTCCGTCCCTTACCCGGACGTCTCAGATCCACCCCATTCTTAGCCTCCCGTTCAAGTTCATCGCCCCTGTGGCCGGCAGAGGCTGCAGCAGCCGAGGCAAAGGGCACGGTCCTGGGGCCGCCGGGCCCAGCCCCCCTTCCGGGCTCTGGCCTCTGGTCTGAGGGTGAGGGAGCTGGGCCCGGCCAGGGAGCTCCTGGGAACGGGGGGTTGGGGGTGCGGGGCCAGCTGGGACTGGCCCGCAAGAGGAACGGAAGCCTGGAAGAGGCGTGGGAAAGAGACACACACACACACACACACACACACACACACACACACACACACACGGCTGGAAACTGGGAGAGCAGCAGCGAGAGAGACACACAGAGAAAGTGTGCAAGATACTCATTCATTCTCTCTCACTCACTGGGGGGGTACACGACGGACTCAAATCACTGCCCCCTGGGGCTGGCAGTTTGGTGGGGACTCAGCCCAGAGGAACCATAGATGAGTAAGTCCCATTCTTAGGAACAGTAAGGGGGGGGGGTGGAATAACCGGGGGGCGCACGACCCACATCCTCCTTATAGGGGTGGGGGGCCGGATGTTCCCACAAGAATCCTTCCTGCGCTGCCCGCCCTCTGGCGCCCCAAGCCTGGGTGGAGCTGCCGGACCTATGTGCCGGGGGAGGGGACTCAGGCCCCGGCCGCCCAGCAGGAGCCGCTTCCGAACCCCCGCTGCCCGGGTCCCTCCCGACCCGGCGTTCTCGGGTGCAGTCCTGAAGGGTCAGGTGGAAGGTAAGCGGGAAACGGAGGGACCAGCGCCCAGGAACCCAACCACCGATGGGATCCCTCTGCGGTGGTGACTGGGGAGGGGGGGGCGGTGAGAAGAGGCTCAGGCTGCAGCCGCCCCGCTGGGAACCCTCCCGCTTCCAGGGTCTCCAGGTCCTCCCACCGCGACGGAGCGTCCCTGAGCTTCCCAGGTCCGGAAGGGGCAGCCGAGGGCTCGCCGGTGCCAGTCGCCGCCGGGACGCGCTCTGATGCTGGAGCGGATGGCACAGGCTGGCAGCCCAAGGGGCGGGGCAATTGCTGGCAACCGCCTTAGCTCGGCTTTGAGGGCCAGTCTCCCCTCCACCCCCACCCCCCTTTCCGCCAGCCGTCTTCAGTCCCGCCCCCACGAGCGGCACCCGAACTCTGGGCTCCAGGCTGCGCGACTGCGGGGGGCGCACGGACAGGGCGCTGGGTGAGTGTACAGCACTGGGCCCTTGGGACGCGCAGGGCTTGGTCTGGCCCGGAAAGGTTGCTCTGGCCACTCCGCGGGTCCCCTTCCTTGGAGTTCCCGGGCCTCTCCTGGAGGCGGAGAAAGCCAGCGACTTTGCCGGTGTCGTTGCATGGATGCTGGCGCGGGCTGGGGGTGGGAGGGGGGCGCCTGGAACCCTCAGGCCTTGTCCTTTCTGGCCACTCCCCTGCAAGTTTCCCCTGAGGACCGCTGCCTGCCTGCCTGGGAGGTGCGGGGGCTGTGAGCCTGTTTGCAGAGTCCCCGCCAGAGAAAGGGCAGCCCGTGTCTGCGTGTGTTTGGTGCCCGCTCCCCGCAGCGGGACGGAGCCCCAGCCTCTCCGTGGGTCTGTATTTGTGCCTGTTTCCCTGTGCACAACTGAAGCCGCCTGGCAGGCACTGGACCCAGCCAAGTCCAAACAAGTCGGCTCCCCTCCCCAGGCCTTAGTTTTCTCATCCGTGAAGTGGGACCTGCGCGACTGTGTGTGTAGCTGTTTCTGCGTGGCTGTTTGTGTGGGAGCATGAACACCTTTGTGTCTGTTTCTCTGCGAGGCACTTCTTTTCCGCCTCAGCGTCTTCGTCTGTACATGGGGCTATGGGGAGAGTCGTCCCGGGGATGAAAGGGCCCAGTCGCAGGGGATCATTATCATGCTTTCATGACACGTGCCTGTCTGCTGGAGCTACGTGTGCAATGTGGGCCTGTCGGTTGCCCTCGGGCTCTGGCTCTGTGAAATGGGCCGATGGCTCAGCGTTCTCACGGGTTTTTGCGGTGGGTGAAAGGGCAGGAACAAGCCCTGTGTGCAGCTCAGGGCTCCAGGCTGAGCATGGGTGGAGGTTGTGAAATTGTGGCCTGTGCACGTGGCTGTTGGTATTGCTGTATGCCTCTGCCTGTGTTGCTTTATCTACGGATGAATGCATTTCTGTGTTTTTCGGATGGGATCTGACCATTTTTGCCCTTGTTAGTGACCGTGTACATATATATCCTTGTCGGTGTGTCATTGTATTTGTGTGTCCCTTCCTATGTGGCGGCTGCATTTGTGTGCATTCTGTCTGTTTATGATTGAATATGCCTCTGGTTATCTCGGTGATGTGTGAGTTATGAGTACCCCTCAGGCACTGTGGGACTGTGTCACCCTGTCCCTATTATTATTTCTGTGTCGGCCTGTCACCATGGCCATCCCCCTTCCACCCGGAACTCCCCCTGCTCCCCAGTGTACCTGGGAGGTGGAGGGGAGGGGGTTAGGGCCCCTCGCCCCTTTGGCGGCGAGGATGGTTCGCGCCAAGCCTGACACTGCACCGCCTCTCCGCAGCCTCGGGGCGGTGGCCCATGGAGTCGGGGCTGCTGCGCCCTGCGCCGGTGAGCGAGGTCATCGTCCTGCACTACAACTACACCGGCAAGCTCCGCGGCGCCCGCTACCAGCCGGGCGCGGGGCTGCGCGCCGACGCCGTCGTGTGCCTGGCCGTGTGCGCGCTCATCGTGCTGGAGAACCTGGCTGTGCTGTTCGTGCTCGGACGCCACCCGCGCTTTCACGCGCCCATGTTCCTGCTTCTGGGCAGCCTCACATTGTCTGACCTACTGGCGGGCGCTGCCTATGCCGCCAACATCCTGCTGTCCGGGCCGCTCACGCTGCGCCTGTCGCCCGCGCTCTGGTTCGCAAGAGAGGGCGGCGTCTTTGTGGCGCTCGCCGCCTCCGTGCTGAGCCTCCTGGCCATCGCGCTGGAGCGCAGCCTCACCATGGCGCGCCGGGGACCCGCGCCCGCAGCCCGAAGGGGGCGCACGCTGGCCCTGGCGGCCGCCGCCTGGGGCCTGTCGCTGATCCTCGGGCTACTGCCAGCGATGGGCTGGAATTGCCTGGGCCGCCTGGACGCCTGCTCCACCGTCCTGCCGCTCTACGCCAAGGCCTACGTGCTCTTCTGCGTGCTCGCCTTCCTTGGCATCCTGGCTGCCATCTGTGCGCTCTATGCGCGCATCTACTGCCAGGTGCGCGCCAACACGCGGCGCCTTCGAGCTGCTGGGGGCTCCTCGAGCCGGGCACGCCGCACGCCGCGCTCTCTGGCCCTGTTACGCACTCTCAGCATAGTGCTCCTGGCCTTTGTGGCGTGTTGGGGCCCCCTCTTCTTGCTGCTCCTGCTCGACGTGGCGTGCCCGGCGCGCGCCTGCCCCGTGCTCCTGCAGGCCGACCCCTTCCTGGGCCTGGCCATGGCCAACTCTCTTCTGAACCCCATCATCTACACGCTCACCAACCGCGACCTGCGCCACGGGCTCCTGCGCCTCGTCTGCTGCGGCCGGCGCCCCCGTGGCCGGGGCTCGGGAGCCTCCCAGCGATCAGGGAGTGCCGCTGGGGCTTCGGACGGCCTGCACCACTGGCTGCCCCCCAGCCTGGATGGCAGCTCCATCCGCTCTGAGCGCTCATTGCCTCAGCGGGACGGGCTGGACATAAGCCTCTCCGCCGGCGCACCCACAGCCCCAGGGACCCTGGTACCCGCGCCAGCCGCAGAATGACCCCCTCTGACCGGCATTGCCCTTCCTAAGAGCTGTTTTGCAGACGTTTTCTTTTTTAAATAATGGACTCTAATAGGAAACCCAGCCGAAGATGGTGGAGAAAGAAGACGCAGGGAAAGGTGTTTTATTGGCTGGTGCGAAACCCCACAACAGTGAACAAAACTGACAAAAACCACTCTGTGTGGAATTGACGTCCTGGTGGGGGCACAGGAGATAATGGCGTGAAGAAATAATGGAGATCGTTCCCGTGACAATAGGTGCTGTGATGGTGTCAGAGGAGGCCTGGCCGCAGAGGTGGTGACATGTGCTGTGAACTGAGACATGATTGAACACCTGAAGCAAGAGCGTTTCCTGTGAGGGGACAGCAGGTGCCAAGCCCCCGCGCGGGGGCGTGTCCGTGTGTCTATGACAAGCAGGGGCTCAGGGGTGGCTGGAGCAGTGGTGGGCGTGAGTGGGGAACACCAAGGCGGGGAGGTGACTGGCCGCATCACTCAGGGGCCGTGGGCTCAGGGGAGGACTGTACTGTTGCTCTAAGTGAGGTGGGAGCCACGGCGAGTTCTCGGTGAGGGAAGGGCTTGGCTTGGTTCAGTGTTCACAGATTTCGGTGTGAGGCCAAGGTGGTAGTTGGAAGAACAAGGTGGTGGCTGCACTGGCCACGGAGAGTGATGATGGGGACTCTGACCACCTGGGTTCTGGATAGATTTTGGAAACAGACAGAATTACTGAGGAATTGAGTGTGGGAGCGAGAAAGGAGTCCAGGACAGCTCTCCCTCCAGCTTAGAGGCGAGAACACCAAAGACAGGGCACCCTGCAATGGGACTCTGGGAGACTCAGCCAATTCTGAGCTGAAACAAGATTTGAGCATGTGTCAGATCCTTCATAAAAAATAAAAATGTAATAAAATAATACGACCAATTACAACTTATTGTGCCTGGCTAGTCATCCCACAGTGGTAGGTCCGGGACACACCTGTTAGTCACCCTCACTGCAACCTGGCAAGGTGCGTTTCCCCACCCCCGTTTTACAGGTGAGGGAACTCTAAGCAGTGAGTACCTTGCGCTGCCCAAGCTGCCAGGCTCCTAGGCCTGCAGAGGTGCAGGCTGGGTTTCTGGCTCCTCCGGAATGGGGGGCAGCTCCAGAGCCCCGTTTGTGCCCATAAAAGGCTCCAGACTGCTGGCCAAGGTCCCTGGCTGTCCCAGGCGCATTCCTGACTCCTATGAGGTGGGGCCCGATTGGGGAACTTGTAACTCAGACTGTCACACGCCTCCTGTCGGGAGACGGAGGAACTGCAGGCAGCTGCAAAGCGTGTTTTGGGGGCACTGACCCAGCCTAGAGGGCCCGAGTCTCTGCGGGCCCTGCTCAGGCCCTCCGGACAGGCCAGGCACACAGGAAACCAACCTATTTCTTGGAACACAAACACACTCACGCCTGGGGTCATGCCCAATTCCCAACCCAGCCTAACACTCCTCGCCCCAGGCTCCTTTAATTTTCCAGGGGAGCCTGAAGCTCACCCCATTGTTCAGTTGTTTAATGATGTGATGGCAGATTTATTTGTGTGTTCACATTTTACAAAATTCAAAAAGTGCTAGTTACCTCATTGGCCATGATCACTGTGGAGGTTCCTGGGAAACTTCCAGAGCTATCTATACTAATAAAAGAGTAACATGCTAATTAGACCAGGAGACCTTCTGGACGTCCTTCTGGACAAAGCCGGGGGCTTGGCCAGCCTGCAAACCACCCCCAAACGGCCCCTCAGCTCCTCACCCAGGCTGGCCACACACCCCCCCCTCCGCAGGGACCCTCACCCCAATGGGGGCATGGCCAGCCTGCAAACAGCCCTCCCCTTACCCAGGCTGGCCCCGCCCCCCAGCGGAGACCCCCACCCTGAAGGGGGTGTGGCCAGCCTAAAAAACGGCCCTCAGCCCCTCACCCAGGCTGGCCATGCCCCCACCCTGATCCGGGACCCCCTTCAGGGCAGACCAGCCGGCCCCCACCTGTGCACCAGGCTTCTATCCATACTAATAAAAGGGTAATATGCTAATTAAACTGGGACACCTTCTGGGAGACCTTCCCAGACATCCTTCCAGACAAAGCCATGGTGGCGGGGTGAGGCAGAGGCGGTTAGGGGCGATCAGGCCAGCGGGGGCGGGGGCATTTCGGGGAGAGCAGGCCGGCAGGGGTGGCAGTTGGGAGCGACCCGGCCGGCGGGGGGGGGGCGCAGTTGGGGGAGAGCAGGCCAGCAGGCAGAGTGGGTAGGGGCAATCAGGCAGCCAGGCAGGTGAGCAGTTAGGAGCCAGCAGTCCCGGATTGAGAGAGGGATGTCCCGGCAGTTGGACATCTCCTGAGGGGTCCCAGATTGGAGGGTGCAGGCTGGGCTGAGGGACACCCTCCCCATGCACGAATTTCGTGCACCAGGCCCCTAGTCTGTGAATAAATGAGCTGAAATGTAAATACATCTTCTCTCTTTTTATACAATTTTAGCACTGCTCTGTGTCTTGTTTTGTTCACTTAATAGTAGATCATGGAAACTGTTGCCCATCTACAGATTTTGTTGTCTGGCTGCGTTAGTCCACTCAGGCTGCCATAACAAACACCATAGCCTGGGTGGCTTGAGACAATAGACATTTATTTCTCACAGTTGGAGGCTGGAAGTCCAAGATGAGGGTGCCAGTGTGGTTGGGTGCTGGTGAGGACTCTCTTCCGGGCCAGCAGAGAGTTGCCTTCTGGCTGTGTGCTCTCGTGGTGTAGAGAATTCAAGGAGCTTCCTGATGTCTCTTCTTATAAGGGCACTAATCCCCTCATGGGAGCCTCCTCCTCACGACCTAACTTAAACCTAATCAGTTTCATTCATAGCACTTGTTCTTACACACACACACACACACACACACACACAACATTTTAAAATATTGAGGTAAATATTCATACAGCAAATGTCTTGCTTCTTTTCGCTGACAATATCACTTTCCAGCATGGATGTGCCACTACTTACTGCACTAGGACCCTAGGGGTCCTAGGAGACTCATGCAACTGGGAGGTGGTGGGAGGGGGGGCACCCCACCCCATCTTCCGAGCGGGCTTAATCCCAGACCCCAAGCAAGGACGTTGAATCCTCCAAATTCACTCTGGAGGCTGGCAGAATCCTTTCTTAGACTAACGTATGTTCAGCCTAGCATTCCCATTATTCACTTAGTTTTATATTTCAAAAAACTTAAATCGCTCAGCAGGCGTGGCTCAGTGGTTGATCATCGACCTATGAACCATTAGATTCCCGGTCAGGGCACATGCCCAGGGTTGCGGGCTCAATCCCCAGTAGGGGATGTGCAAGAGCCAGCCAATCAACGATTCTCATCATTGATATTTCTATCTCTTTCCCTCTTCCGTCCTCTCTGAATTCAATAAAAATATAAAAAATTAAATAAAAATTTAATTTAAAAAATTAAATAAAAATTAAATCCATTTACTTAAAATTTAACTTTATATAAACAGCATGGCCCTACCTGGTTTGGCTCAGTGGATAGAGCATCAGCCTGGTGACTGAAGGGTCCCGGGTTCGATTCCGGTCAAGGGGCACATGCCTGGGTTGTGGCTCCATCACCAGTAGGGGGCGTGCAGGAGGCAGCTGATCAATGATTCTCATCATTGATGTTTTTATCTCTCTCCCTCTCCCTTCCTCTATAAAATCAATAAAGATATATTTAAAAAAATAAAAATAAACAGCATTAAAAAACAGCAATAGCTAACATCTGCTGGGCGCTAGCATTCGCTATCATTTCACAGGGAGGAAACTGAAGCATTAAGAGGTCCAGTTACAGTCCCGCCGCACAGAGCCAGGGGCGGCAGAGCTGGGTTTGAACCCCCGCAGGCGCTGGCCACGCGCCTCCAGGTTGGAGGCAACTGGAATATAAAGACCAGGAGAGCCGGGCCGGCTCGGCATTTCTGGCTGCGGCGCCGGCGCGAGGCCTGCGCCAGGGGAGGAGAGCTGGTGTTGGGGAGCGGCTGCGCGCTGAGACGAGGAAGCAGGCGATGGAAGGGGCCGTGAAGGGGTAACGGGGCCGGCCCCCCGGACCTCGCGCCCTCGCCCGGCGCGGGCTCCAGTCCCAGGGCTCAGGCACCCGAGGGAAGGGCGGGGAGTCTCGGCTCCTTCCCTGCCGCGCCCTCTCCCCGCCTCCTTCCCGGGCGACTCAGCCTCGCCCCGACCCGGAGCCGAGGTGCCCCGACAGCGCAGGGGTCCCCGGGTCCCCGACGGTGAAGGTTGGGCGGGAGCCGCCCCCGGCCCGGCCGCTACAGAGCGCCCGGGTGTCACCACCGCGCTCGGAGCCGCCGCCACC